GTGAGCCACCATGTGGTTGCTGGGAATTGAACTCAGGACCTCTGGAAGAGCAGCCAGTGCTCTTAACCTCTGAGCCATCTCTCCAGCCCCCCAGATCATTCTTTTCTATTACTCGTTTTATATGTATGGTGTTTTGCCCACTTGTGTATATCAATGCACTATGTCTGGTATCCTCAGAGGGCATCGAATCCCCTGGAACTGAAGTTACAGATGGCTGTGGATACCTGGAATGAAATCTGGGTCCTCTGGAAGAGCAGTCAAGGTTTTAAACTGCTGAGCCATCTCTCCAGACCCTCAATTTTTATGTTTTTATGGAAAAACCCTATCCTCATGCTGATACACTGTATGGCAATTTTTTGTACATCTGTTATCATGGAACTTTTTAAAAATCCAGCATTATATTCTTGAGGGGGGGGAGGGTACATCTATAAATTCTAGTCTGGGTCAAAGATAGAGAAAAGATGGTATAATTACAGAACAACTTGGTCATATCATAGGCTTTTAACATATACATACACATACGTGTGTGTTTCTTCTACTTCATTTTACTAATTTCTTTTCTTTCTTTTTTGTGACTGGGTCCCTCTTTATATCCCTGGCTTTCCTAGAATTTGCTGGCATTGAATTCACTAGGTCTGCTAGCCTCCTGGGTATGTGAGGCACAATAGCAAGCTAAAAAGATTCTTATGAATAAAACATCTGAAAACATCTTTGTTATCCATATTCATCCATCCTAAAATGACATAGGCATGTTTGTATGATATCCAATACATACCTGAGTTTCTGGTTTATATTTATCCACCCACGGCTCAACATCAGACAGATACTCTTTTGAAGTTTCTACACCATAGGTCTGCTCTAAAGAAAACAGCTTTCCTCTTTTCCTATTCGTCAATCTGTTACTGTCTAATGTGGAGGGCGATTTTTTCCTTCTGTGACTTGAGTTATTCAAACCTAAAGACGAGGCAGTGATAGTAGTGATGGCAGCAGTCGCTGAAAAACCATCAAATGATGGGTCTACCCAGTCTGTGACCTGCAAACAAATAAAACTAAAATTACTGCAAGTTTTATACCTATTCCCTATGTAACTGAGCTACTTTAGAAATATGACTATAACCCTCAAAAGTCCTACAAATTATATATCTACTATGAGTATTTTTTTTTAAGATTTTATTTATTTATTATGTATAGAAAGTCTACCTCTATGTATGCCTGCAGGCCAGAGGGCACCAGATCTCATTACAGATGGTTGTGAGCCACCATGTGGTTGCTGGGAATTGAACTCAGGTCCTCTGGAAGAACAGTCAGTGCTCTTAACTGCTGAGCCATCTCTCCAGCCCCCTACTATGAGTATTTTTTGAAACAGCGTCCATGCTCAGGCTGACCCAGAATATACTATGTAGCCAACAATAGCCTTGAATCAGAGCTGTTCCTGTCTCAGCCTCCCAAGTACACTCAGTACTTCTTCAACTTTTCCTTTTCTCTCTCTCTCTCTTTTTTTTTTTTTTTTTTTTTTTTTTGAGACAGGGTTTCTCTGTGTAGTCCTGGCAATCCTGACTCCTTCTTTTGACCAGGCTAGACTTGAACTCACAGAGATCAGCCTGCCTCTGCCTCCTGAGTGCTGGGGAGAAACGAGAACCTGTATTAAGTGCCAGATTAGTCTTCAAACTTTATAAAGATAGGAAATTCTAATGCTCTAATGCTGTGCTTGGTACTTACACTGTAATGGAGCAGTCTACACTTTAGTGAGACAGGCTTTCTAGGGAAGGTGCTATCTTAATCACAGAAACTTTAGGAAAGACCAGCAAATTCCACACATTCCAGTCCATGTTTTCTGGTCTACAGAAACTGCTAACCTCTCCCTGTTTCCTTCCACTACTTCCTTTTCTTTAATACCTTAGGTAAAAGCCAAGAGGTGGTGACACAGGACTTTAATCCCAGTACTTTGGAGGCAGAGGCAGATGGATCTCTTTGAGTTTGAGGCTAGCCCAGTCTACAGAGAGGGTTTCAGGAGAGCCAGGGCTGTAACATAAACCTTGTCAAAGAAAAAAATACTGAATTGAGCAACAACAGCACTAAAAGTGTTTTCCAGATAATGAAATTTTTTTAAATGTCTGGGTGTGATAGCACAAGCTTCTCAGCCTTGCAGTGACGAGACAAGAGCAAGAGGATGGCCACAAGTTTGGGATAGCCTGCTCTACTCTATAATAAATCTAGAAAAAAAATCTCATTTTTGCCTGGCTTTGAAATGTCCTGCCTGATGAATGAGGGAAAATCAGATTCAAGGATACTCTGCTTGGGTATCCTTGGGCGTTGCTCAGCAGTAGAATGCTTGCCCACATCACTAGGCCCTGGCTCCAGCCTTGACCCCTACATTGGAGACTGATACCAACAGTGGAGGGGACTTAATTACAGTTGGGAACTCTTTGTTAAGATAATGCTCCTCTCAGAGATAGAGTCCAAAACTAGAGGTGAAAATAAGGCTTGTGGGAAGAAATGTGGGCTGATAACTACTTTATCAATCCTAATTACACTTCACTCTTAGGTCAGAAGGTTAGGAATATTATCAGCAGTAGAAAAAGTTGTGGAGAAAAAAACGCAGTCATAACCAGTTGATTCATTTTTTTTTCTGTACTAAAAGACTGGCAATGTTACTATAAATGTTTTCACTTTTCTGTATTTAAAAGTGAATGAAAACAGTTCTATGCTAAACTTACTGACAAAAATATTGATTTGCATATTATTTATACATTTTGTCGTTTCTTACTTCTTTCTACCATGAAAAAAGAAAAGCAACAAAGCTACATAATTTACTTGAAATCAAAAAAAAAAGCTCGAGCCACCTGTAGGGAAGTGGTTCTCAGTTCCCTTGCAGATGATAACATCTGGACACCTCTTGCACCTAAATTCCTATCTTGCTGAAAAAGGACACACTGAACTTCGTGACTTCTAAGAAGTAGAGTCCATGGTTAAGCTAACAAATTACCACACACATACTGTCTTTTCTATTCAAGAGTGCTCACTCTGTGTCACTGGGACTACAGATGCTTTCTCAAAGCTGGGCAGTGGCTCGAGCCTTTAATCCCAGCAACTCGGGAGACAGAGGCAGCCTGATCTACAGAGTAAGTTCCAAGACAGCCAGGTCTACACAGAGAAATTCTGTTTTGAAAGATTTAAAAAAAATTTTTTTTCCAGAATTAAGGTTCTGGTTGTTTTGCAGCTTATTACCAGACTTTGGGTCGCTAATCTCAACAGACATTGGACCATCACTACTCTGCTAGGATTAAGTCACTGAGAACAAACAACCTTTTACCATTGTCTTTTCTTTGGGGGGGGAGTCGGAGAGCTGGGAGGGGGCCCTGCGACAGGAACCATTCTGGCTGTCCTGTAACTCACTCTGTAGACCAGGCTGGCTTAGAAATCAGAGATCTGCCTGACAAGTGCTGGGATTAAAGGCGTGCACCACCGCCATCCGGCTTTGTCAACTGTCTTTAGGCAATCACTACACAGCCACTCATACCTTTGTGGAAGAAACCTTTGGTCTAAGGAAAGTTTCTGACATTATAAACTTTAATAGTTCCCATCAGTAGTATACAATTTGGAGTACACTGAAGTGTAATTCACCTGGGAAAAAAAGGAAAGAAAATTCTCAAGTTAGGAAAAACTATAAATACAGAATTATAGTAATCGGTATTTAAATACACAATCAGCCACATATTAGGGGCTCGAGAACTAATAAGAGAAAATTAACATGTTAAAATCCTAAAGCAAAGTTTAGTTTAAATGACTACAATTTTATCTAATAACCAACCTGTAGTGGTATACGTTTTTCACAAGCCCCACACTAAAAGTTTCCCACCTAGTAAAACAAATCCTCTTCCCTGATATAATTTAGGATTAGAGCCTGAAGTTTCAAAAGGGCAGAAAAACATCTACTCAAGAAAATATACTTGTCGAAACACAAGACGCTCAAGTCCGTTACTGGTCCGGACTCTCTGAACAAAAACAAGACTGACAATCTCCTCCTCCAATAAACAGACAACTGTCTCAGATGCTGCCAGGCTCGTGGACTAGCTGGAGAAAAACGAGACCTGCAGGAAGCATCCCCAGCCGATCCCCCTCCGCCGCACACGCTGCACAGGGCTCACACTCAGCTCACACAGCAGTCCTCGGTAATTCCGCAGAGCTGACACCTCACATCACCGCTCGGGGCTCGTCTCCCACATCCTACAGCAGTCCATATGGGAGGGCGGGTCGGGAGGACAGCCCGGGTAGGCGGGAAGACGAAGCTAGCCTTACGCCTCTAGGACATTAATAAGCACAGCCGAAGCCGCCGCGGCCTTACTTCCCGGGAGCCGGAGCCGCGTCCCCTCGTGGGCGGAACGGAGCGAAGGAGCCCAGGATCTCCTCCCAGTGGGAAGATAGCGGCCCAGCCTCCCAACCCCGCCGCAGGCTTCCAGGAGGGACCGCCTCCTGGGGACCTTCCTGACCGCCGGCGCTTCCGCGACGCTATCAGAGGGGCGGGGCGGGCAGCAGAGCGAGTCGTATAGGCGTCCGGCGTACCGCCTGACCCAAAACGCCGGCCGGGGTTGCGGCCCGGGTTCCACCGTTCGATAGAAGCGTAGCACCGGGTACCGGGAAGTCATCGGTGCGTGTCAAGGACGCCTAAAGCGCGTCGGGAGCCCCGAGCGGGGCCGGGAGGAAAGCGAGCCGCGGGCGCACACGGCCACCCGCCCGCCCGCCCGCCCTTTCCGGCTCCTCCCTGGAGAGCGCGTTGGGCGTGTGAGCCGTGGCGCTGGCGGCCTGGGAAGGAGGACTATGAAGCTTCCGAACATCCTGCTCACCGGTTAGGGCGCGCGGCGGGGCCGGGCCGGGGACGCCGAGGGGCCGTGAGGTCCGGGGGAGGCAGGAGGGGGTTGCCTCGGGCCGCGCGGCGTGGCGTGTGGCTGTCGCGTGAGGACCCGGCGCGCGCGGCCGTTGGGGGGAGGGGGCGCTAATCCGGGTGGCCGGACGCGGCGCGGCGAGGAAGGAGAGCGGCGTCCGGTCCCGCTTCGCTGCCCCGCCCGAGGCTTGGTCTTTGTGAATCTGGTATTTCGCCTGGAGAACGGGCAGGGCTGCGGGTCCTTTGTCGGTGTTGGGCTCGGGGTTTCTCCATCCAAGTGCGGTAAAAGCGGTTTCTAGCCGGTAGGAGATGGGGTGATGGTGGGGTCCTTGGGCCTTCCTGGTCGTGATTTTTTTTTTTCTCTTTCCCTTTGCTTCTGGGAAACACTGCCTAAAAGATTTCGGTAAATGCTTTGGATGTTCGTGAAGAGACGTGACCGATTAACGGTTTCGGTCGGTTGGTGTCACAGGCTTTGTCGTTGTTTCGGTGTGAAAGCTGAGCCCGTGATGGCCGTTGGGGCCGTGGAATGTTAGATTTGGAGCCGATCGTGAGTGGGGCTCTTCTGTATCTTCGAAGGTTTTACTGGAAATATTAAGTTGTAGCGTCTAATACCATCGTAGGCCAGTCGTACAAAAATTAAATGGGTGTAGATGCTATTCTTTTATACAAAAAAAAATTAAGATCCTGTTTGTGGAAGCAGGGTTTTTGTCAGTTAATGAACCATAAGCAAATTTTAGCCTTTAAGAGTCCTTAGGAGGGCCGGTCGGTGGTGTCGCACGCCTTTAATCCCAGCACTCAGGGAGGCAGAGGAAGGAGGCGGATCTCTGAGTTCGAGGCCAGCCCGGTCTTCACTAGTTGCAGGACAGGCTCCAAAGCTACAGCGAAACCCGGTCTCGAAGAACCAAAAAAGAAAAGAGTCCTTACATTTTACAATATCTGATTTGCTTGGACAGACAGTATCTTGGGGTTTATATAAAGCATTGAAGCTAGTAGGCTACCATTTGAGACCCTGGAGATGTAGGCATGAAGCCCTGAGTTGGATCCCCACGACTACATAAACTGGATGGCATAATTTGTTTGTTATCTTTATACTAAGGAAAATCAGAAAGGCTAGCCTGGAATGCACAGCCCCCTGTCAAAACAAGAGCTACACCATAAGAAGTCAGACTAAAGTAAAATAACCATGCTGAGTTCAGAGTTCACACAAGTTGAGTCAAGGCTTCAGATTGCTGTACCGCAGTGGAAATGTTTTTCTAAATACATTTTAGAGGCATGATTTATCGGGGTTACTTAAGTTTGAACAGCTTTAATTATGTTTTGATTGTTTTATAATTGTGTTAACAATAAAAGGAGAAAAGCGAAGGACAATGTATAGGATATCAGTGCTGTGTGTGGATATATACAGTGTGTGTATGTGTGCACTTGTTTAAACACATACCAAGCAGGACGTTATGTCCCTTAAGATATCACAAACACAGAAAGCTGAGAAAGGCCTGGTTTATAATAGTTCCCTCTGGGGAAGTTACCAGAGTTGGGGGTGAGGAGTAGTGACGTGCTCTCATGCCACCTAAATTTCTTCATTAAAGCAGTAAATGATGGCAGTTTATTTGAGGTACCCAGTTTTAGGCTGGGAAGGTTCATGTTGTTGCGGACAGAATTTGCATCAAAATTGCTGAAATCCTACCCCTGGAAATTAGGATACAGAGACTGACACCAAGTCATTTCTGAAGAATTTTTTGTTTAGTTGGTTTGGTTTTGAGACAAGGTCTTTCTGTGTTTCCTTGGCTGTTCTGAAACTCACAATGTAGACCAGGCTGGTTTTGAACTCACAGAGATTCATCTGTCTCTGCCCCCTGAGTGCTCACCACACCAGGCTTTCTGGGGAATTTTTATTATATCATGGTATATATTCATATGTGATTGCTAATTAAGAAAATTTTTGTGTCAGTTAAGACCCTTCAGGGCAGACCAACTGACATCTAATAAATAGCATTTGAACCGTGTTTTTCTGTGACTTCTTTTACAGGTACACCCGGGGTTGGAAAAACCACACTAGGCAAAGAACTTGCGTCAAGATCAGGACTGAAGTACGTTAATGTGGGTGATTTAGCTCAAGAAGGTAAGGTGCACTTTGATGTTGGATTTATGTTTTTAAGTCAGGTAGTAGAGTGTTAGTACTAATTAGCTAAGTGTTGCTAGAGGGTCCAGAAAGCAGAAAGACACCAGTAGTAAGCAATTTGTGTTCTGCTATGGACTACAGAAAATAAAAGACTACTGTTACATAGTTATTTTGGACATTTTTCCCTTCCCTAACCCAGTGTTTGTGAACAGTAATAATGGGGACAGCTTCTGTGAGGGGTTGGATAGATAAGGTCTGAATATGAAGAAGAGGGAAAATGCTGTGGGTGGTTTTTAAACAAGTGTGAGTTTATTGATCTTCCATGAAGGACAGATTACTGTGGACTCAAGCAGTAGGATATTACTGTTATTTTTATCAGTCACTTTAGCTCTGATAGTTACCTGCCCAGACTCGCTGCATATAGTCTGAAGTGGTATTTTTACTGATTTTACCGTTTTCCCTTAATCTTTTATTACTTAACTATTTGTGTCATCTTTTATATTCCACACTCAGAGAAGGAACTCAGTATTTTTAAGCAGAGGGAAGTTTAGGTATACAAAGATTGCTGTTTTACATTTTAGATAGAGTTTTGAAAATTTTAACACATTTGAAAATTTTAAATTCCTAACAGTTGCTACTAAAGTAACTATTTCGGTTTGATCTAATTTCCATATTTTTTTTAAATGACCTAAAGTCTGATCACCGGATATCATGGAGTCTGGCAAGATGGCGTCTCCCAAGAGCATGCCGAAAGATGCACAGATGATGGCCCAAATCCTGAAGGATATGGGGATTACAGAATATGAGCCGAGAGTTATAAATCAGATGTTGGAGTTTGCCTTCCGATATGTAACCACAATTCTAGATGATGCTAAAATTTATTCCAGCCATGCTAAGAAAGCTACTGTTGATGCAGACGATGTGCGATTGGCAATCCAGTGCCGGGCCGACCAGTCTTTCACTTCTCCTCCCCCGAGGGATTTTTTATTAGATATTGCAAGACAAAGAAATCAAACCCCTTTGCCATTGATCAAGCCATACTCAGGGCCTAGATTGCCACCTGATAGATATTGTTTAACTGCTCCAAACTATAGGCTTAAGTCTTTGCAAAAAAAGGCACCTACTCCTGCAGGAAGAATCACAGTTCCGCGATTAAGTGTTGGCTCAGTTTCTAGCAGACCCAGTACTCCCACACTAGGCACACCAACTCCACAGACCATGTCTGTCTCAACTAAAGTGGGCACCCCAATGTCCCTCACAGGACAAAGGTTCACAGTGCAGATGCCTGCTTCCCAGTCCCCTGCTGTGAAAGCTTCAATTCCCGCAACATCAACAGTTCAGAATGTTCTGATTAATCCGTCGCTAATTGGGTCCAAAAACATTCTGATTACCACTAATATGGTATCACAGAATACAGCCAATGAGTCAGCAAATGCACTGAAAAGAAAACGGGATGATGATGATGACGATGACGATGATGATGATGACTATGATAATTTGTAATCTAGTCTTGATGCATGTAACATGTATACTTGGTCTTGAATCCATTGTACTGAAATTAAGCATGTTAGATGTTCTAAAGCTGTATTTTAGAAAGTGGTATTTAATAAGTATGCTTTCCGTGCTTTCCAATTGAAATGTTGAGTTTTAATAGAGCTAGTAATGGTTTTTCATCGACCTTTATGCATAAAAAATAAAATTGTCATTTGTCAATTTGATTCTTGGTACTTTGGCAATTATGTTTTCAAAGCAGTTTTCCCCTCATCTTGAAGTTGTTACTGTTATTATTTATAAACATGTGGTGGGGGACCAGTCCCAGGAGAGGCTACAGTCACGTGCCTCCCCCCCTCCCGTCGTCCCCTGTGGGTGGGAGACAGCGGTGGGTAAGAGACAGACTGATATGCCATGCAGAGAGTGTGGGTATAAAGTTTACTTAGTGGATTATGGAGGAGAAAGGGAAGGGGAGAAGAGGGGAGGAGGGAGAGGCATTAGTTACCTCTTCAGAAGAGGGACAGAGAGAGCAGGTTGCCCTCCTTCGTCCTCCTTCAGCCCATAGCACCAAGATACCAGCCCACTGGGGCGTGGTCTCTCCCTTTAAAAAAAAGCTGCCACTTCCCTCTGCACTCGCTCTGGCTTCCAGAGACTAGGCTCCCTTCCTGATTGAGCAGAGGGCTGTTGTCTGATGTGATCTGTAAGTTTTTCCCCTTTAAATAAATAGCTTCTCTATTGGTCATAATTCCAAACTGGTATGGGATTGTTTGTGATTTATGCCTTCAGGGAGGGGACTTGTCTCTTAAAGGGACAGGGTTCTCAGGTGACAAACCAGGCCAACAGATTACAACAGTTACAGCCTTTGTTACTATATTTGCGGTGCTACCTACCTCTGATGTCTTCTGATGCTTTAATTATTTATTTATTTTGAGGCAGGGTCTCTCTGAGTAGTGCCAACTGTCCTGAAACTATTTTGGCCATGCTGGCCTTAAATTTATAGACTTTGTCCTGCCTCTTCCTCCCCAAGTGCTGAGATTAAATGCATTCCTTTGGTCATATTTAAGACTCTTGGCATTTCTTACTTTCTACCTCACTTTTTTCCAATTTTTTATGTATATGGGTGTTTGTATGTAAGTGCACCACACATGTGCCTGGTGTCCATGGAGGCCTGAAAAGGGCTTTGGATACCCTGGGACTGGAGTCACAGACGGTTATAAGACAGGTGGGTGTTGGGAATTGAATCTGGGTCCTCTGGAAGAGTGGCCAGTACTCTTAGCCATTGAGCCATCTCTCTAGATCCCTGCGTCAATTCTTAAAGTTTACAACTTTTCTTCTTGCTCAAATGATTCTCCTGACTTAGCATCTCAGTACCATGAGTGTGTAAGATTGCTTATATTATTATCCTGTATCCCCTCACATTGCTCTCCACGTGATGTTCTTTCTCATATACAATTGTTTTAGTGTTTTTAGCATCCTTAATTTCCCTACCCCCAGTTTATTAGTTTTTAACCCAATGAAGGCTAACTCCAGGGTACCCATAGGTCTGGGACTGGTAGGATAATGTAGCTCATTGAATTCATTGCAGATAGAATTACATTCATGCTAAGCATACACTACCACAGCTACTTGCTCCATAGATAGAATCTTGGTTTGTCTCAACTCAGGAGTTGGCAAGCTCCTGCTAGATATTTCCCTGAGCTAAGGAACACTAGACACCTATTCTGCATAACTGTCTAAACTTCTAAGCACACATCTCCAAATTAGCGTATTTAAAGAGCAGGACTGAAATCATCTTTGATTCTTCTTACTACCTCCTGGTTCTAACTTCCCACACAAACACATTCTCTGCACAGTTCTACTTGGTCTCTAACTTCTGATGATTTCTCTGGGGAAAATCTATATAGTCCTCCTTTCCCACCTCCCTGGCCATTGGTTTTGTGCCTAGGGTTTTTGTTTTATTACTTACTCTGTATGTTTTTACTGGTGTGAGTTTGTCATGGCACACATGGAGGTCAGAGCACAACGTACAAGAGTCAGTCCTCCCTCACCTTCCACCACATGGGCCCTGGGGATCAGACTCCTGGTAGGGTGGTAAGGCAGCAAATACCTTTACTTGTTGAGCCAGTTTTGTTTTGTTTTGAACAAGGTCTCATGTAGCTTAGGCCGACCAGCTACGTAGTGCGTAGCTAAGAATAGTCTGTTCTGGTGCTTCTGTCTGTCCTTCCTTAGTGCAATTACAGGTATGCATCCCGACATGTGGTTTATTTGGTGCATGTCACCTTAGGTGCCAGCCCATATGTGAGAAACCTCAATCTCTAATCTCTCACTTCTCGATAAAGAAAAGGTGAGAAGTAGCTGGGTGGTGCAGCTGCACACCTTTACTCCCAGAACTGGGAGGCAGAAGCAGGGGCATCTCTGAGTTGAAGGCCGGGCTGGTCTACAAAGCGAGTTCTAGCACAGCCAGAATTGTTACACAGAAAAACCCTGTCTTCAAAAACAAGACAAAATCATGTGTATGAACAGTTATAGAATCAGCTTCCTCTTAATGTTCTAAACTGTATGGTTTCTTCATTTGAAATTTGAAGTGAACTTTAAAATCCATCTCTACCGTCGTCACCCTCAGTACATACTGTAGTGACTGGTTTCCGGGAATTCTAAATTCTTCATAAAGAATGCCTGCTGCTTCCAGATTTGGCTCCAATTCACTGTTTACTCAGAAAACAATAATCTTTTAAAATGAGAAATGAATCACTGTATTCCATGTTTAATATACCTTTTCTTTCCTTGATCTAAACTCTTTATGCAGTCTTGACGGCCTTTTTGATCTGACTTTAACTTACTTAAACCCTTAAACTATTTTCTGATGGTTCCCTCCTCCGGTCCTTAGGTACTCTCTTTGATTATCTTGCTTTCTTTGGATTAAAATGGTCTGCTCGGTTCTCTCTATACCCCATCTCCAGCTAACTACTTCAAATCTTTGCTTAGAAATTACTCCTAAGAGCTGGGGAGCTAGCTCAGTAGATAAGAACTCTGGGTCTGGAAGCACAAGGTAAAAAGCAGGGAGATGCATGCTGCAGGTGCCTCAGTGTTGGTGGGTGGAGACAGGCAGATGGTGGGAGCTTGCCGGGCAGCCACCCTATCCCAGACAGTGAGCCCTGTTTATTTAGTGAGAAGCCCTGTCTTGAGGCAGTCAGGCCAATAGTAATAGAGGAAGACACCCAGTGTCCTGCTCTGATCGCTACAAAGGTATGCACACACCCATACCTTTGTATGCATGCAACACACACAGATACACGTGTGCGCGCGCACACACACACACACACACACACACACACACACACACACACACACTACTTCTGAGCCTCCCCAACACCTTGAGGTTATGCTAGGTACTCATCCAATTCCTCCTCTAGCAATATAGTCCCATTTCCAGATTTGCTGTCATCTCCAGTTTATTATAAGTTCTTTAAGGGAAGGGATTGTAGTTGTCTATATATCTTGTTCACTAG